TATATATATATATATATATATATATTACTAAGGATCCTTATACGTCTCCCTATCCATTAATTAGCAAAAAGAGGTATAAAGTTATGTAAGGAGATGTTCCTCAACTAAAAAGCCAAAATAATACAATACACACTCAAAGATGGGGATCCTCAACCAAGTACAACTCCGCCCAAAACAATAGAAAAAATTAAACCCAAACCTAAAAGTATACAACAAATTTACAAGTATACCAGCACAAAAAAGTATAAATCCAAAATAAAATCATAGTATTAAGGATAGCACAAACATAAGCCAAAATAAAAAAGGGATGGAAGTAGCCGCTTGTGGTAGTAGATATCCAAAAGTGCTAGAATTGCATCCCGGTAGCTTTGAAGAGTGAAAGGAGAGGATCAAAAGTAAATTGTAGAAAATTGAGAGATCGATAAATGAAGAATCCCCTATAAATATTTTCATTGTCACCTCCAAGATAGCAGTAACCATTACAGAAAAAATGGGGGTAGAAAATCAGTAAACAAGAAACCTAGAAAATAATCAGAAAATCCCACTAAAGAAGCCATTGATGAATTAATAATAAGCCCATAGAAAGCACCCCCTCGAAATGCCCAATCATGTACCCCAATGTAAATCTAGAAAGTTGTGTGCATGAAGCACATCAATTAATAATACTTCCAAAGATGCATTCCAAATAATACTACTCAGTAGGTGTAAGAAGAGCAGGCTAGTCCCCAAGCTCCCAATCCTCCAGCAATGAAAACCATAAAAAAAGCAGCGAAGGCAATAAGAAGAGCCACTAATATCCATAACTAGAAAAGGTGACCTTTCCCAAACAGTAACCTGAGAAAAAGGCTTCTATAGCAGCCATAAAATGAAGTATGCAGAAAATTATGCATGAGTGAATTAAAACAGAGCCAAAACTATAAGGTCACCAGAGAGCATGGATAGAAACAAAAAAAAAAACATCCAAAAACCAAATCCAAAAGTTAGCATCCAAAAACCAAATCCAAAGTCAGATATGAAATTCCAACAGACATATAACCAACCAATCATATACCAAACCCAAAAACCAATGGCTACAGTCAAAGCAAAAGTAAATTTAAGAAGCAGCCCATATAAGCAATAACGTTAAGCCCACAAAAAGGGGATTGCCAATAGATCACTTTGAACAAGAGAGTAGAGAGGGGTAGAAGAAGTGTCACAAATGATAATGCCAAATTGCCCCTTCTCAGCTAACCATTCAACAGGGTCATTACCTTCTCTGTGAAAAACATATAATGGATATCAATATGAGTAGTGTCCACCACACTTTTGATCTGGTTTAGCAAAATTATAAGATTTGAGAGGGCTTTTAACTTACCTATTAACATATTATAAAACTATGGGGAATAAGTTTCCGTCTCAATATTTAAAAAACCAAAAGCCACAATAACTTACAATGCTACCAAAATAGCAAATGTTTCAGTTTCCAAAGGAGGTAAAGCAATGCAGGGGGAGGCAAAGAAAACAAGGCACTACCCCTTAATATCTCAAAAAAAGCCTCCTATCCCTGCAGCTTCCCTATTAAAACTATAATCAATATTTAATTTAATCCAACCATGGGAAGGTGGTCTCCAATTTAACAAAATTGGTCTCCTACCATTTTCAGGTTGAAAGGAGTTATAGGCACCGCTAGCAGCTTTTGAAGCTTTGAGAAAATTAGCCACAATATGAGCAAAAATATTATAAAGCATATGGTGAGAAACTTAATATTTGTGACTACTTATAGCAACCCAAACAAACCAAAAAACTATTAGAGGAAAGTAGAAAAGTTTGTTTTGAGAAAGCTCAGTTTCTTTCCAAACGGCAAGGATACTTTTTAGGCATAAATTAGAGGGCCAACTTAAGCCAAAGTAGCACCCCAACTGTTGCCAAAATTCTTTAACAAATGTGTAATTATAAAAAAGATGTGTAGAAGATTCAATCACTTCCTTAAAAATAGATTAAATAGAAGCAAGCCTCAGGCCCTTCATTTTAAGTTTATCTTTAAGAGGAAGAAAATTATGAAAAAGTCTCCAAAGAAAGAAGGAGATAGATGGGTAGATATATTGGTGCCAAATATAATTACTTATTTCCACTGAGGAAAGTTGTACAAATGAGAATATATCATTTTAGTGATGGAAACTCTAGTTTGAAATTTCCAAATAGGGACATATTTAGTACCATTATCTGTAAGAATATTAGCAATATAAGGGGCCACCTCCCCAACCAAAGACAATAGATTAGGCATACTTTTTAAATAAATAAAATTCCCTTAAATATTTAATATAATTTTAGGTGTTTTTCTTTCTTTAATTAAAATCATCCCAGTCAATACTTTCTGTCACTAAACTCATCTATAATAATAATAATAATAATTATTATTATTATTATTATTATTATTATTATTATT